TTCATCAGGAAGCTTCTTCTCTGAACACTTGGTCTCCTGTAGACACAATATATCTGGGTCTTCTAATTCAAGCACTGACATGCCATCTTTCTGAAATATTAAAAAAGAAATAAACACTCTGCATCAATAATCATGAAGTATCATATAACAAATAAATTGCAGGGTAGCACATCATTACAGTTTATAAATACGAAGACAGTAATTAGTGACTTCTAGGGATAAATACCATAGCAATCCTAATGCTACCATACTAACCTTCAACCATGCACGGACTCCATCCACATTCCACGACACAATCTTTAGGTTCCATGGTTCTCCGTCCTTTGACTTGGCATCAGATTCAAAGTCCTCCTTCTTGGCCTTTTTGTTTTCACTTTGCTTTGGCGCATCGTCAGTCTGAAATAAACCACACACTTTAAGAAACACTTTACAACAAAATATTTTGACAAATCATAGATCTATATACACAACATATAACAAGAAGATTGGATTAGCTTTAAAGATAAACAATTCTTAAACTCCCAAAATAAAAAGGTGGCCATCTATTAGGATATTTTGAACATCTTGAGTTCCAAAGCACAATTAAAACCCATGGTATTTGTAACCAAATGCAAGAAACCCTCCAAAGACAAGGTCCCAAAACCAGGGTATCATGCAAACCCAAAAATCTAAACTTAACCTTTCCTACCTTCTGTTCAATCCCTAGACAGGGGGTCAGGCCCCCCTTTATTAGCACTTTATGCCAACTTATTGAAAATACGACTTTAGTTAATCAGGCTTTGTGAGGGTGTTGCAGACTTGCCCCTGAGCAGTGATATGTAGTGGATATTTTCCTCACTTCGCAGTAAATATGAGGCTGCAGCAACTGTCCGTGTTGTTTATGACTATTTCATAAGGGAGGCAGTGTCCATTTCCCTCTATCTCTGTGCGTAATTCTCAGTAACATTAAAAACTACAAAAAAAGACAATGACAGGGCAAGAAGCAAAAAAAATAATAATGATAACCCTGGGAGTAACTGAATATGAGAGGCACTCACAGGTTATGCAAGGTTCTTTGTGAGAAATGTAAACTCAGAATAAATAATGTCTTTACAAAATACTTGTGTAGGGGTAATACCACTGCAGTTAATGTCTGAACAAACAAATCCACTCATTTCAAACATTAATATAATGCCGGTAAATGAAGAAATAGCAATTCCCTCTCATAATGTACTAGCCAAATACCACATTTACATTATGAATAAACCGCACAGCTTTGTACGTGACAACTCATACGCACTGACCCAATCGAATGCATTAACTGTTTCGCACCTAGAAGACATACAGGAACGACAAAGAAAAATGCATTAACTTATCACGAAGTAATTAATTCTGCGCAGAGAAGCCACTCTCTCGGCGCTCTCCCACGCTGCGCTCTCGAGTTCGGAACTTTCGGCTTCGCTTGCCCGCGCTTTATTACTGAATTGCACAAAAAACACTGTGTTCCTATACTGTACACAACAAGAAAATGCAATACCTGTTTCCTCTTGGGAGGCATGGCTGTCACTGACAAATAGAAGTGTCGAACAGCAGAAATGAAGACGGGTTTTGGCAAGACAAGCTTTACACACGCCAGTTTTATTGTGCTCAACGATGCTAGCTTAGCGTAATCCGCTACTCGATTAGTGCTAAAGATGTTTCTTTACTCTTTACTTATTAAACGATATTGTATTGTAAAGCAGGTTTTATTAGGCATGTTATTGATATATGTATATTAATTATTTTAATACCATGTGAAGTATTTCTCGTCAAATGCCGAAATATGGTATATGTTCGGATCTAGCAGTTAGCAAATTCTTGACAATAATGATCTGCAAATGACAAAGTAGAAAAGATTTTGTATAATGAATTTGCAAATTAATGTCCACGAAATCATAAATAATAGAAATATATCAATATATTCAACTTAAACAGACACATCTATAGTATCCATATTTGAGCGCGCAAATTCATGTATTTTCTTGTTCGGTCGGAATGTTGCAATCCGTCCAGGTTTCAACAGGATTCTCTAAACAAAACGAAAAAAGTCGGGACGTGAAAGTCAATATTTGGGACCATTATTGAATCTTTCTAATTGTGAATATTAGTTCCACACCATACTTCCCTCTACATATATTCAATATTATTGATAGGAACCGTTGGTCAATTTTTGAAATGAATTTAAAATTCCATAGCCTTCTGGCGGGTGAGACTTATGGGTATACATTTTGGAAATGGATGATGATAATGGAGTCTATCACCGTTATTGTTAATACCATTATTACTATTAATACAACAGCAACAACAGTATTTACTACTACTGCCACTATTACTACTACTACTACTGTTGCTACGACTACGACTACTACCACTACTACTACTACTACTATTGCTGCCGTTGGTGCTGGTGCTGCTACTACAACTATTACTACTACTATTACTACTAGTACATTTACTACACTACTGCTGCTACTACTATTAC